ATTTTCAAGCCCAACTCCAGTTTGAGWGTTTTCTGCACAGCTCTTCCCCTGCAGATGCACCCAGATTGGGATCACAGTGGGTTGGTGGCAAAGCTGAGAATGGGACATGGGTTTTTAGCCCTGGGACAATGTGCTGCTGTCTCACTCARCAGTCCTCAAATACCTCACACATTCCACACCTTGAGCTGCCACAAGTCAGTAAGATTGTAATTATCCTTCTAGGGGCACCTCTATGCTCATTTTCACTCATCTTCCCTGCAAGGATCTGGCACCTGAGGTCATCATGAGTTTGAGCTAATTAAAAAATCAAAAAGAAATTAAAAATAAAATTGTTTCTGAGCTAAGCAACAGGCAAATCTAACTTGCTCTTGGAGTTTCTAAGTGCTTCAACACTTAGAGGCAAGCAGCACTGTACTGGGATTTATTATCATCTTCAGTCTGGTGAATGCCAAAATTCAGAATTCCTTATGAAGGTAATTAAGACAGGTGCTGAACTCATGCTGATCAAAGGCAGCCCCTCATTGTAGAGTATAAACTTTCCTCCCAACCTCAAAGCCTYTAGCTTCACCTTAATTTTTCTCACAAGTACCACTCTTACTGGACTTYTGCTTTAAGGATTGTCTCTGAAAATATAAAGCCTTCAGGAAAGGAACARAAACTCATCCACCTCCCTGGGCAAAAAAAAAACAACTGAAAAAAGATCAAATAAAACATTATTAAAACTGCCTTGTTTTCCCCGCGTGGAGGAAACAAAGAAATCACTGATAAGATCTAAAGTTCATTGGGAGTTACAAGGGCAAGGGAAAAGAGCCTCAGGGTCAGGGGCAGGGCACATAAAGCAAAAATAAGAGCCCTGTAGATGAATTAATTTCCCCAGGCTGAACAGCACTGGATGCAGACTGGCACGAGAGACAGATCTTTTTCTATTCCACAAGAGGAAAAAAAAAATACTCCATGAACATTTACAAGGCAGGGCACAAGACTGAAACAACACAAAGCTTATGACTGACACGGAAGAAAAGACGGGAAAGGAAGAAATAAGGAAAAYTCATGCTCTGGCAAACCAGAGGAGTCCACAAAAGGCTTCCACTTCCTTGGCTGCAGCCACAGAGTCAGCAAGTAACACCAGAGGCAGGGTTGCTGTTGTCTGGGTCTTTTCTTGCTGCCCAGCTGCTCTACCAGGCCAAGGACAAAACGGAGTTTTCCTGCTGCCCCCAGAGAAAACAGAGCGTGGGCTTTGAACAGGTTAACTTCAGCCCACCCTTTCCATTCTCCTTCCTATCTCTCCCCCTCCTTTTCCAAACACAAACTGCAGGTTCATGTGAAAATAATGACACTCCATGGGTGAGATAGGCAGAGGGTTGAAATTCAAGTCGGCAGCGAGATGGGGAGCTGGTGGCGCCTGCAGCGCGACAGCGCTGATGAACCCTGATAAACCATGGGACACATTAGCTSTGCCCTACAGAGACACTCCTCAGCCCCCCTTCCTCCTCCACTGGGCAGCAGGGAGGAGAAATYCCCCCACTTGAACACATAATTAGCAGCAACAAGCCCAGAAAATGCTCATTTTCTGCTTTCAAACCCAAATTCCAGTCAATCCAGCTGCAGGGATCAGCCAGACATGAATCTTTAGYTCACAAAGTTGACACATGAAGCAGGAGCCTATGGCTATTCAAGGCCCARTGCCAAGAAAGAGTTGGAWAACAGGTCACCCACTTCTGTATTTTTTCATTAGCTTCCTTCTCTCCCCAAATATTTGTCGGGCCAGAGGCACAGGAACATGCCTGAGCATAGAGGATGCAATCCCTGCAGACTGCTCTGAGTAGAAACCAACCYCCTTGGTAGCTCCACTGCAGTGATGGATCAGTTTCAGGGTGGACAAATGACCTGTACACTGGAGAATTTTTGCTGAAGTCTTCAGAGAAAAGCAGTCGAGTACTTGGAAGATGGGAAAAGCCTTTGTCAGAAGGAGGCAGTCCTTGAATTGTGGGAATTGTTTCCACCACTTGCAATTCCTGCCAGAAGAGCAGGTCTGGAAATTWGCAGGTATTGCCCCTTCAGATTATCCAAAACTGAGCTAGAGGTCACAAAACCCTCACAGCGTTCCAGTGGAATGGGCAGAGGTCCAGCTGCATTTCCATGGAGGAGCAGTRCCTGTGGCACCATCTGCACATCCCATCATCTGTGGGACTGGATGCTGCAAGTTTTGGTTCCAGAACCTCTGAAGGAGCCTTGTGCCTCAACTAGAGGTGACACCTCCTTGCCTCTGCCTCTGAGCTGGTGTAATTTTGACTGACCTTGGGCTTTCAGGAACMCCTCCAGTGAGCAGGGCAGGGCTTTACCACCGTGACCTCACCAGAGCAGTTTATCTGGAGGCAGGGCCAGGAGGATTGACTTACTCATCTCAACAGCTGCTCGGCTCACATCTGCCTGCCCTCCCTGCCACAGCAAGGATTCCTCTGACACTGCACGAGCAGTGGCCACTTCCCTGCTGCACTCCTGGGACATGGAAGCCTTGGCTGCTGTGCAGACTGCCAAGCACACACTGTTAAAACATCACTCACATCAACCAAACCTCTGTGTGTGCTGCAATTCCACCAGCATTGAGGCATCCCACCCACCAGCACAAGAGATGAGTTACTCCTCATGAAAGAGCTCTCAAAGAGTGAGAGCTATTTCTGTTCATCCTAAATTCCCCGGCAGAAGCTCCTCCAGGAGCCAGCCTGTGACTGCCAGGAATTATTTTATCTCTGCAAGTCTCACCAGTGAGCTGCAGGATATCAGCAGCCGTACACAGAACATGCTGAAACCAGGCCTGGGTGYCTGGGGAAGGAAGGGAATTCCTCCCAGGGATCAAGGCTGTGGTCTCTGCCCAAAGGTCAGTCAGAAACAGACACCACCTACCCAACAAACCACMCATGATTAAGAAGAGCAAAGTCTGCTGGAACTGCAGCATTTCCTCCCCCACTGTCATTTTTAGGCATCAAACTGCACAAAACACAGCTTTCTCCAGGTAAGGGGCAATTTCTGGTTGAAAAAATACCAAATGTTGGCAAAAATAGGACTCCCAGCTAAGCATTGTCCCCTAAGAAGGATGCTAACAATTACATTGAGAAAAATAAGGTCCTGCCAGCCAAAATTAATTACAATTAAATATAGCAAAGCTCAGAGTGACAGTTTCACCCTGCACACACAGATCAGTGCAGAAGCCAGCTTATCCCCCCAAGATACTGTCACCATTCAGGGCAATATTTCAGCAACACTTTGTGGGCTGTGACATTGCTCATGGTTAGCCAGAGTTAATTTGACTTTGCAGGGTCGTTACCCACACTCCTGAAGCACCACCCCAGGTCCAGGCAATGTGATGTTCTGTTACAGGGTTGTGGTAAATCACACAGACCATCCCAAAAGTCTGCAGCCTGGTCTGAAACACAAGTCTGCACCCCTGGTCTTACCTGAGAYTCCTCAGTCCTCCTGGCCCGAGGAGTTTCTATGGATCCATTGATGTCTAGGGTATCCTTCTGCTTRTATTTCCTCATGATCAAGCTGTCCACAACCCAGAACATAATGGCCTTGGGGAGAAAAAAATCACATTAATAGACTGCAGAGATCAAAATACAAAGTCATTCCATCACAGATATTTCTTCTCCTTTTGGGTTCTCCAGACATCCAGCTTYGATCAACCTCGTATCTAAATCAACCCTGCATCAATTGTGTCCATGGGGATTGGATGGGTCAAATTCCTGAGGTTCCTTCTTATACAAGTCCTATTGATGCCACAATTATT